ATTTAAAAAAGGAAAAGATAAAGTGAAAGATATGTGTGCATATAATAATAATAAACACAGATGATATATAATGGATAGTTAAAGTCTCTAATTTACAACTTTGTTGTATTTCATCTTCATTTTTACAGCAGTCTTTCTCAGAGAGTATCTATATGAATCAAGAAGGAAATATTAGTTTGATCGGCATACGTCTCCACAATATTTGACCTATCTGGACGACATTGTGATAGGGTTAGGTCTGGCTGCCATTGATAGTTTTAAGCTCGGAATATGCAAATTAGTAAGATACTGGCTGATTTCTGTCTGTTCCGTTTGATCGGCATACGCTTCCACAATATTTGACCTATCTGGTTAGGTCTGAAAGAAGTTAGTATAAAATGTTTTTTTTACATATGAAACAAACTTCTAATGTCCTCCTGCGATGAAAATATATTGGGAGGGCTTGACTCATCAGTGGTGAACCCTCACAGCGGTTTCGCCAATTTAATCTACCAGACCGCTTCTTAGAGCTCTAAAACTATAGTGAACGATTCTGCTTATATATGCTACACTAAAAGTGGGATTTTAGAAATGGTAGTCAAGCAAACTATGGACATAAGCTTTTAGGAAAGTAGAATTACATATAAATGTATGCATCGAGCAATGCTCTTCCGCGAAAAATAAGGACACAAGACCAGTTAGACATAATTAACTCCAGAATATGTAGATTTGTTCAATAACAGCAAATTTTGCATATACTGGTATCAGAAAATGATTATGATAATGAAACATTAATAAATTCATATTTTCACCCATTGATACTACTGCTACTACAATTTTTTAGTACACGGTGGTAGTAGTTAGGGACTCCTTTTACTGCAAGTGCACTACATGTCTTCATAAGTGGAAAGCAGTTCGACTTTTGCACTTATAAGTGTGCCAGAGCTCCGTTTGATTATTTGCACTCACCGCTGGGGTTGGACTTTTGCCAGATACGGGTGCCATTGAGAAGCAATATTTTTCTTCAGGAAAAAAAGTCCAATGCGGGATTCGATCCAGGGTCCTGACTGTCGAAAATCAACGATTTATTCCATTTCTCCAACAACCAACCTCTCTAACTGCTTGCTACTAATATAGTAATTCTTCAATTAAAGACACAGTAAATCTATTTTATTGTCTCGACAAAAATCTTTTGTCCTCGTCAGGAACGAACAAAATATTTACTATTAAGAAAAAGGCATCTTCCTTATCGTGCAACTGAAAGTTGCTGATTGCTTGCGCCATCTATCGGAATAAATATCAACTATTCTCGTTGATTTTTAATTATTCCAGAATTGGCCAAATACCCATTCTTGATTAATCAAGAAACGCTAACCACGGACGCAAGAATGGGTATTTGGCCAATTCTGGAGTAATTAAAAATCAACGAGAATAGTTGATATTTATTCCGATAGATGGTGCAAGCCATCAGCAACTTTCAGTTGCACGATAAGGAGATGCCTTTTTTTAATTTATGCACCTTATCCCAGTACAATATTACATTTGTACTATTTTTTCAAAATATTTACTGGCCGAAGTGTCTTTAATTTGAAGAACTATGAATGCCGGCCAGGCAGCCTCTATCTTTACAATAATAATATATATTGAACGTCGTTAGAACAATATTGTTTGTGCAACCTCGGTATAGCTCTAGTTGATAATAATAAAAGTCTATATGATACATTTCCAAGAGGTCAGCATCAGTTATCACTATAAAAGGAAAACCGAAAAATACAATATTACAGTGGTATGGTAGATTAAACTGGCGAAACCGCTGGGAGGGTTCACCACTGATGAGTCAGACCCTCCCATTAATTTTTTCCATTGCAGTAAGAACAGTAGATAATTGTTTAATTTTTAAAAGAATCATACGCGTCTATAATAGTTTCGAATTCTAATAAAAGTTTAATTGAACAAGAAGTTAAAATTTGTAAACAATTAATTTTTTGGCAATGTGTTTCTTTTTTAATAATAATTGATGATAGTATTGAAAAGAAACACATTGTCAAAAATTAACCCTCGGTTTACGAGCACCTTGGAGTACGAGCTTTTCGCAGTACGAGCAAATTTTTTTGAAAAATTTTACCTCGGATTACGAGTGAAATTTCGCATTACGAGCAACTCGTGATGGTTGCCCGTAAACGTGATGGATGAAAATTCACTGGGATCCCTCCCTTCAGATCAGATTCGGGAAATATGTAAAATGTGGGAAACTGTGCAATTGTTCGTAGCAAGAAGAATTGCCGAGTTTCAATTATTAAAAATAAGAAATTAGTTTCGCACTACGAGCGTTTTGGAGTACGAGCATGGCTCTGGAACGGATTATGCTCGCAAACCGAGGGTCCACTGTAGATTTTTTATTTTATTTATTTCAACACACTAAACGAGATATCCCGGCTAGTGATAATTGCGTCGATTTACATTTTTTTAAAACAGAAACAGTTATAAACATATTATACAAGAAAAAGTTCTCAAAAATAAAAAAGAGAGAAACAATAAATATATTCGGAACCTGAACCTTTATTTATTTATGCTTATGAGGTGATACAGCAACGTATTTACAATTAGAGAGGAGACAAAATGAATTATATCTAGAAAAAAGAAGTGAGGACATATCGGTCATTAAAGTCTGAGAGGCAAGGCCTTCAGCCAGTTCAGGGCTTCCGGGGTGACAGAGTGGAGATTGGAGATTCCTCCATTGAATTTGTACAGCGGGCAGTCATCTAGTATATGGGACATTGATTGTGGGACGTTGCAGGCACAATTTGGGTCTTTGGTGTAGCCCCATAAACCTGAACCTTTCAGGTTAGAAAGATAATCATAAAATATTTACAAAAATAGTTAAATCTATGATAATTCTCACTGCTATTTACAAATTGATATAGATCTACAACATTATTTATTGTCTGTTGTCTAGCGGTAAAGAAGAGTGGGCATTCCAGCAGTAGGTGTCTCGAGTCCTGGAATTCGTTGCTACAATGACAGCTAGAGTCTTCAACCGCTCCATTTTTTTATAGATGGCAAGTGAATTTATATATGAATAAGAAGTAGCGAAGAACTTGTGGAAGTGTTGGTCTGTAATGTCATTGTTTAACCTTGGCTGGAGGAGTTCTACTTCCAAGTACCAATCCTTATGTCACCTTCTGAGGACTGTAGTTGTGTTGAGGGAAGGTCCGATTGCTGGCGATCACTCGTTGACTCCAAAAAGGGGATCTACTCTATAAAGGATGGAATCTCACACACGGGGGCGTATTTCACAAACGCACTCACTTTAATAAAACTATCTATTTATACATACTTTGGTACGTGGTCAAATGAATTAAAAAATAAAAACAAAATAACAATGATTTTACAAATAAAATTATGCAAAAAAGGTAGAATTAACAATCAATCTGAACAACCATCTTATTGCAGGGGAACAGTAGTAACTGTCCTGAATTTCACCTCCGCACAAATTGCATCTCAACTCAATCATCCCGTTAAAAATTCGTTTCCTTTTTGCCTTTTATCTCAACCCCTTTTAATACACTTTGCTTTTTAAAACCTTTAATTTTTTTGTTTTTTAGGAATGTGGCGTATACAGTTTGGTTGGTAGTTTGAAAATCAAAACCGATAGCAAATGAGTACAACCAGAAAAAAAGTGTATGGGCTTGAAAAAAGTCAAGGAAAATACTCAAAGCTATTTCTTTATATGAATTTTGATCAAAGGCAAAATTCGATAAGAGAATTTATTTAAAATTAATTAACTCTCTCTCAAACTAATTACGACTTCATTTATTATTCCCTTTGTTTTAAAAAATATATAATTTGTTTTTTTATTCTCTCGTCAATTTGAAAAAAAAAAGGACATATTTAAGCTACTAATATTACAATCATGCACAAAACTTGTATCCTTTTAGCATGTATATCGGGGTTCAGACAATAACTCTAAGAGATATTACAGTGACTATTATTGAAGACACACGAGATAACCAAGTGTGAACAAAATTGTCTCTGTCTCCTTCAAAACTATACAAAAAAAAAAAAACAGACGACTGGTGACATCAAAGACTTATCTTTTGTCCATGAGTGTATATCATAATTACATTCTGGTCAAACAATGATATGTAGCACAGCTACGTGTATTTAGTTGATCTTATTTACCATTTAGGTATATTTTATGATCTCTGTAGTAAGTTAAAATCAATTTCATTGTGGGGAACATTGATGGAAGTTTTGCTGGGAGGATATGGATATAAAAAAAGAAAGAGATTGTCATTTCTTGTTTAGATATCGTCCATACACCATCTATAGTGTAACCATAGGAAATAGCCTAGACACCAGCTAAACACCTATATTTGTTCAAATTCTGAATAATACGTTAAACTCACCTTGTGGATCGCATGAAAAACAAAGTCCGCTCTAGACTGATGAGGGTCATTAGCCCGAAACCCTGGTCTCTAGGTGGGGGTTCTTGAATTTACTTAAACTGGTGTTGTGGCTTTGTCACCGACCCGAGTCTACTAGATTGTATAGATGGTCAATAGATGGAGTGTAGTTTCTGCGTCTATTTTGACAGGAGAGATGACCGTTTCTATTTCGTTGAAGCTGACTGATTTTGATAAATCCAAAGCTATGGTTTTAAAGTAGAGGAAAGAGACTTACTCCCCAATCCTACACCAGGATCACCAAAGAATGAGATTTTACTTCTCTGTTATCTAACACACATTTTACTAAGACGATCTGTCTACACGATTCCTCTGAAACATCCAATGAACGGGGTAGCAAGAAGTTTAAAGTTACAAATGTAACATATAGAAACTACACTCATGGACAAAACATAAGGAAGTTGTAAAACAACACTTGAAGTTACACCGCATAAGTTTCTTTTCAATGGAAAAACATAATTTATTTCAAGGTGAAATATTGAGTATTTCTAACCTTTTTGGATGAGGTATGAAAGGGTGAATTATAAGAGTAATGATGAACGGAAAAATAAAAATGTCCAGGGATGGGAAACGAACCCCTCCGCTTACCGGGCAGATGCCATGTCCACTAGGCTACCCTGGACGTATTTTTCCGTTCATAAATAATGCATAAAGTAACTTATAATACAATATAATACACTGCGGCTTGTGATTGTAAAACAACACTTGAAGTTACACCACATGAGTTTCTTTTCAATGAAAAAATCAAAATTTATTTCAAGGTGAAATATTGACTATTTCTAACCTTTTTGGATGAGGTATGAAAGGGTGAATTATGAAGAGTAATGATGAACGGAACGGATGCATGTGCATCAGGATTCAGACAATAACTCTGAAATATTTTGATACACAGTGACCTTCGTTGAAGACACGCGAGATAACCAAATAGGAACAAAATTGCCTCTGTCTCCTTCAAAAAAAAAAAAAAAAAAGCGACCCGGCGACATCAAAGACTTTTCACATCCTCAAGTGTATATTCAATAAATGTATATACAGGTATGTTAGAGAGAAACGTCGTAGTGGGGTTATTCTGAATTAAGGGGAAGGAGGCGAGTGGAAGTGGTGGAAAGTGGAAGAATGTTTACAAAGGGAGAATCCTGCATTGTCTCTCACATAGAAAGTGCCATGTCCGCCCTCCCGCTTCTAAAACGGACAAGCATTGCCGCAACACGTTATGATGACTAATAAAACCAGAGTTGGTCCATTGTCATAAATACATCATTGAATTTACAATTCGATAAAATAACCCTTGTACCAATATTAAGGTGAAAACATCAGACTTTCAGGGATAGGTTTATTTTTCTTTTTTAAAGAAACCCTGGAATGTTTCCACCTTGACATCATTGAACATCCAGCAACCACGGCCAGCCACGAGCTATATTAAAAGGTTACACGCCAACAACCTGATGGTAAACCGAGGGATCAAAGCGCCAGAGTCCGTGCGTGCGTGCGCCGACAAAGAAGGGAAAAAAGCACAGACAATTCCAAAAAGTAATTGGACAATTAGATGTCAGTAGAATCAGCGAGCCGCAAGACCAGGCAGTTACATAACGAAACATAATCGATAAGAATTATATAAGTGGTGCTGTATGTCCTTCTGTCTAACTCCCGCCTACGTAAACAGCGGACGCCATCTTGGACAAATCTCTAGCTCTCCCTAAGGAGTTGTCTGTTACGAATAACAACAGGGACTTGTAGATTGGATTTCTTCGATACCACTAAGTAAATAAGACGATATGTTATTGATATAATTTCTTCGGTATAATTATAAATAAAAGACAATTAGCTGAGGTAAGAGTTTATTTTATATATAACGGCAATACAACGCTTGTTGTACACGATTGTTCGGCGGTACCATATACTAAAATTAGCCGAATGACCCGGGCAACGCCCGGGTTTTTACCCGATTAAATGCTTTTATTCAAATACTATTCGTTACAATTGTAAATTGGCGCCGTGGATGTAATTCTTGTATAATATATAAATGAGTTATTAAAAATTGTAAAAAAAAAAAATGCATCGGGCCGGGAATCGAACCCGGCCTGCCCGCGTGCAGGCGAGCATTCTACCACTGAACCACCGATGGTTATGAGAAATGGCCATATTTGGGTATTTATTCCATTCACAAAGCAAGCGGTGACAGAATTGATTAAGAATTGTTGCTTGATTATGACGTTGATAACTGTATATATTAATTGGAACAATACAGAGAAGATTAGCATGGCCCCTGCGCAAGGATAACACGCAAATTCGTGAAGCGTTCCATATCGGCAATACAAGCTTTCGGGCTCAACAGCCCTTCGACAGGTATAACTACGGTACTGAAGTTTTCCGAATCTAATCCTTATATATATATTGCGGCATTACTTTTATATATATCCGAAGCTCTCTTCTATTTCAAGAAGTTGAGAAAACACATCATTAAAATGGTAGAAGAGCTTGTGGCTCGTGGAGACCGCGCCACTTGCAGAGAGAGAATAAACATATCTTCTTGGAAGTCATCTAAAACTCAACGTCTAAGTTTATTTTTGGAAAGTTCTTGAAGCTTTACAAGGCGAGTTTCTCAGTGTTGTTTTCTACGCGACAATATACATACAATGAAGTAGGAAATATAAGACAGATATGCAAAAAAAAAAAAAGATTTACATAGTATAGATTCTGACGTTTATTTGACGGGAGAGGCGACCATTGCTTCCATGGATTAATTTCCTCCCGGCAATTTTCCATCTATGTTTTGCCAATAGATTTGGCCCAGCCACATTGCCAGCAAAACACCTCTTTGGTAGATTGTGAGGATTCCATATTATCCCGTGTGGATCTCATGGAATAAAGTCCGCCCTAGACTGACGAGGGGCCATTAGCCCGAAACCATGGTCTCTAGGTGGACGCTTATCAGTTTGCCAAATTTGGTGTTGTGGTTTTGTCACCGACCCGATGCCGCTAGTTGCGGCGACGGTCAATAGATGGCGTCAGATTCTGACGTTTATTTTGACGGAGAGGCGACCATTGCTTCCATAGTATAGTTTATAAAATAGATTATTGGTTAATGCTAATGTTCTATTGAGGTTATGTGATTACAATATTAAGACTATATGTCTTAATAAAGATTGCTGTATGTGTGATATCACATGATGCAGATGCAAATAAGGTGAAAAATCATCTATGACCAAAGTCTTTATATTGGAGAAACTACCTCTAGCTGATCAATCAGATGATATTTGTACTGGGAGAAGAAATCCATCGCAATAAATAACAGAGGTGGGACACCTCTCCCACGTTAAAATGGAGTTAAAATGTCTATTTATAGCCATCATATTGGCCTCGTCAGGAGAGGTGTCTGCTCTGATATAAAAATTACTTGTTATTTATAAATACATTTCAATTTTCCACCCATTTCCCATATAGAGAAAAAAAAACATTTTAACAACGGGGGAAATGGTTCCTTCAATTCCCAAAGTACCCACATTTTCATTCAAAGAGGCCGCCCCCCCTAAAAATGTTTCCAAAGCTGAAAGAATTGAATGGTAGGAAGATTCAAGAAAATAGAAAACGTTCAATGGGAGTGGCGTTCTTTTTTTTTTTTTTTTTATTCCATTTTCTATTTTTCGGGTGATGATGAAATGGTTGTCATGGAGGGGTGTGGCTGAGTAGGTGCGACCCACATTTCCACACTCCTGCTGCACTTGTGCGGCGAAAGGTAGAGTGATATAGAGTCACCCAGGAAAAACCAACAAGTTTAAATGGACAGAAAAGTTGAGTAACAACTGCTGCTGCACTTGTGCGCCGATAGAGAGAAAGGTAGAGAGTTAGCGTCACCCCAGAAAGATCAACAAGTTCAATTGGACAGAAAAGTTGAGTAATAACTCCTGCTGCACTTGTGCGGCGATAGGTAGAGTTATATTGAGTCACCCAAGAAAGATCAACAAGTTCAAATGGACGGTTAAGTTGAGTAACAACTTCTGCTGCACTTGTAGGGCGATAGAGAGAAAGGTAGAGTTATATAGAGTCAGCCAGGAAAGATCAACAGGTTCAAATGGACAGAAAAGTTGAGTAACAACTGCTGCACTTGTGCGGCGATAGAGAGAAAGGTAGAGTTATATAGAGTCACCCAAGTAAAACCAACAAGTTCAAATGAACAGAAAAGTTGAGTAACAACTGCTGCACTTGTGCGGCGATAGAGAGAAAGGTAGAGTTATATAGAGTCACCCAAGTAAAACCAACAAGTTCAAATGAACAGAAAAGTTGAGTAACAACTGCTGCACTTGTAGGGCGATAGAGAGAAAGGCAGAGAGTTGGCGTCACCCAAGAAGGATCAACAAGTTCAAATGGACGGATAAGTTGAGTAACAACAACAAAGTTTGAAGAATATTTTAATGACGCGCGACTCTTATAATCTTTTAAATAAGGTGATATAAAGAAGATCGACAATTTTTTCTGGACACGTACTCTGAGGATCTATTGACCACACTGCAGAGATCCGCACCTTGAGATTATTTCAATAAAACTGGACTGGCTAACAAGCCAAAAGGGTATTCTTCATGGGCTTAGGATGGAAGGAGAAACGAGAAGATTGTTCGGTAATCTCAAAGAAATTATAAGGAAGAAAGAAAGTGAATTGCGCTGAAAGACTTCAGTATCTGAGAGATGACCGTAAGACAGCTGAGTGAGACCTATCGAGTGATACATCTTGAAGAGAAATTCTCCTCAGCGGCGAAGCAAGCGACATACGTTTTCTTCGTAGATCACGAAATACGTGGTGTCGCTGGAGACCCGCTGGCGTTCTTCCATCAATTCTGCAGCGGTGGCAGAGGCGCCATGTACATTGTACATAGTGTTATGTATGTATACCTAATTATCATTTTAAAATAGTGCAGACTGTGCACTTTTGCATGTAATGACAAGATGTCAATAAAATTATGTTAATTGTCTTTGTCTTGAAGAGAACGAAAGGAGAACTAGAGTAACTAAGGAAGGATTGGTTCGATAAGAAATGATGTGATACTGGGAGATACGTGAAGAAAATTGGGCTGAACACGTTCCACGATTGACGACAGTCGTATAATAGATGTACGACTCCAAGGTGCAACACCTATTCCATCCATCGCCCAGAGCAGCAGTTGGGGAGAGCTCGCCATGACATCGGGGAAGAAACGCTGGCTGCACTCCCTGCATGTACAACCCCATCCACAGAAATAATAAAATATATGCACTTTTATTTTTAAAAATCGATTTAAAAAACGCCACTAAAAAGGATTTTTAAATATATTTCTTTAATGTATAAACAACGTAAATTATAATAACTAAATATATATATTAACAAACTATTTTTATATCTTATTTTTCCAATAAAATCATTTTATGGCTATTATTTCTATTACTTTTTTTATGGGGTAGTTTTCACGACTTCTTAAAAAGCCTAATAAAATTTTGGTTGGGGATTTTTTGATAGATGAAAAAGTAAAAAAGAATGGATTATTATTTTTTAGGATGTCGAAAGGGGAGTATGAATTGGAAGGTGGTGGAGGGTGGAGCCCGGGAGTACAAGACGGGGAGGTTTGTGTATCTATACTTGACCTGGCCGCTTGTGTAGGGAGCCAGCACAAACCCTAGCGGGGAGTCCTTTAAAACGGCCGTAGAACGTCCGGGATAAGAGGAAAGACGCTGCCTACATTGGCTGGCTGGCCAAGTAGAATCCAATCGACAGCTTTGGCTAAGCCGGGTTTACCAGCTGGAGATCGTGGGTAGCAAATGATTTAATAAACAGGGAAATAATTAGAGCTATGTCCCAGCAAACACACTCAGCCATGTTGGCATATTTGGAAATATGGCCGAGATACAATAACGACAAGAACAGTGGGGGAGGTCGGTACAAGTAGGCGAGTGGAAGGCAGATAGAGAATGAGGAAAAAGAACAAAGAGAGCGTGAGATAGCAGCATCGGGAACCAGAACATACATAGATCGAGCGTCAGAGACACAGATGTACACAGAGCATCAGGAACAAGAACGAGGGAGATGTATACAGAGCATCAGGAACAAGATCGAGGAAGATGTACACAGAGCAACGGGAACAAGATCGAGGGAGATGTACACAGAGCAACGGGAACAAGAACGAGGGATATGTACACAGAGCAACGGGAACAAGAACGAGGGAGATGTACACAGAGCATCAGGAACAAGATCGAGGAAGATGTACACAGAGCAACGGGAACAAGATCGAGAGAGATGTACACAGAGCAACGGGAACAAGAACGAGGGAGATGTACACAGAGCAACGGGAACAAGAACGAGGGAGATGTACACAGAGCAACGGGAACAAGATCGAGAGAGATGTACACAGAGCAACGGGAACAAGAACGAGGGAGATGTACACGGAGCAACGGGAACAAGAACGAGGGAGATGTACACGGAGCAACGGGAACAAGAACGAGGGAGATGTGCAAAGAGCAACGGGAACAAGAACGAGGGAGATGTACACTGAGCAACGGGAACAAGAACGAGGGAGATGTACACGGAGCAACGGGAACAAGAACGAGGGAGATGTACACGGAGCAACGGGAACAATAACGAGGGAGATGTACACGGAGCAACGGGAACAAGAACGAGATGGGGAAGCAACAGTCGCAGCACGGCATCGATTTCTCTGACGATCGATGAACACAGACAGCAGCGGCTCTATCGAACCTCGAGGTCAAGGCTGCGGGTACGGATGTCCCGGACATGTGTCGGGCGGTGTAGGTGCAGGTATCCAGTACGGTAGTGTATGTAGGGAAGAATCGATTTACATGGCTGTCCTAAATACAAACTGAGCTACCAGCCAGGTACTACAAGATGTAAAGGTAGGGGAGGAGATCACGCGGCAACGTATTCGTGACCGCTGAAGGGTGGGGCAGACATCACAAGGTCGAGGCCACGTCGCCTTTGTCTGCCATCCTACCGCCTGGAACATCTTCCGGGATCTCTAGCGGCGGGTCTACCTCAAATACCCAGGAGCCTGGTGGCAGGGGTGACATAGGTACACGTACTGAGTAACCACCACGTGGTTCAGCAGCACAAAACACGTGTGCTCAAGTCAGGTTTTACTGTAA